TCTCGATAAAAAAAAAAAAAAACACAACCAATGAACCAGTTAACAATAAAACCACCAAACCACGGCATTGCAGTCAACAACGAAACGATCCAGCTGCCAGGAGCCAAAAAAAAAAACAGAAAAGCGAAAAATCCTACAGACTCAAGCGATCACGACAATCAACGCAACCGTCCAGGACCACGCCGCTAGTAACTCCACCAGCGGTGGAAGGCGCGCGAAAACAAAAGCGAAAGCAAAAGAAGGCAGAAAGACTAGATAGCGGCGAGAAAAACCGCCCTCATCAACGCGCAGAGGAGGTGGAGTTGGCCCCGGTCCGACACTCAACGCACCGAAACGCCATGGGTTTGACATATCTGCGATCGATTAACAAAGAGTTTGGCTGTGAGTAGCCTGTGACTGCTGCGGCGAGTGATTTTTTCATGGACGACTTTCTCTCGTTAAAACTTAAAAGGAGACGGTAATGAAATAGAAGATCCAAAAGCGGGCCCCAACAGGTAAGAAAATTACCAGTGAGTCCAAATTGATTTATTACAGTGGCAGCGCAATTAATTGATAATAATAAAAAACCCACTCCAAGTAAAGTACAAAAAATAATAATAATAAGGGTAAAAACCCAAAATTCCTTGTCTGCTTTGACGACTTTAATTGAAGATAGTAGTTTAACTACAACACAAAATTCACGCCGTCATTTATTTATATATAAAGCACAAATTAAAATTGATTTGTCGAGGCGCCCGAGTACTTCATGGATTGCTACCTTGATGAATCTGCATTTAATACGAAAACATTAATATTGGAAAATTAAAAGAATCTCATTTGTATGAATCTTAATCAGCTTCATCTTCTTATTACATGGTATGATACCTACTTATTTTCCATTCTGGACGCTCCTTTCTCCCATCTCAACAATATTGATCATCTGAACCTTCCCGGGGTTGACCTCCTCGAGGCAGTTTCGGCGCTTGAAGAATACATAAACGACGATAGCAAGGAGCATGATGAGGACACCAGCAAGTCCTCCTTTAGCAGCTGAGGAGTAGCCTTCTGTAGCCGAGTCTTGTGCAGGGGGGCTTAGGATGTAACCATCCATAGCTTGAAATTAACTACAAAAAGGAATGATTAATTAGAGGAAAATAAAACTAGTAATGTCTAAAGTGAGATTAGAAAGAGATCGCATTGATAACATTACCAAATTTGAGGAGGAATTAAACACAGGAGGAGACAAGTTAGCAGAGCAAGAGTGGATGCTTAATTTTGTGAATAAGGAGAAAGTTTGTGTGCTCTTAAATAGAACTGGTCGTGAAATGATGCCTCTTGGTGAAGTTTCTTGGTCATGCACTGATGCCTTGGTGTTCTTGGTGAATAAAGCGATTCCTTGGTGTTTCCGTGCATTGACCATGCTAGTCTAACAGCAGTACTTTGACTTTTCTTCTAAAAGAGAGCGCATAAAATTTTTTTTATCTTAAGGCATAATTTCCTCCCTCTCCGAGATAATTACCCAATAAATTTTTTATTTTATTTTTAATTTCCTCCCTCTATTTGCATCACAAATCCTAGAAGAAGAGAAGAGGAGGAAAAGGAAAGCCGAAGAAACAAGACCAGCACCTATTAACGCGCCAACCCCTTACAAAGAATATTAATATTTTACCAATTTATGAGCAGCATTCCATGTTTTAATTTAAGGCATAGATAACGAATTTAATTTAAGGAGGCCTTTTCAGATGGCTTTTACGTGCGCCTGTTTTGAGCCGTTTCGGATGGTTGAGCATGCATAATGGTTTGAGCATCTGAAAGTTTGTCTCTTCCTCGCTGCTCTGCTTTCTATTTTGATTTGCTCGAACAGGAAGCTCGGAAATATAGTTATTATTTTATGTTACGAGCAGCAAGTTGAAAATCCCATAAACTAGCATATGTCAACATAGGGGAAAAAAAATATTTGCAGAATAAATAAAATGAAAGAAAGAAGTAAATAAACTTGTGTTTTGATGGGTAAATTCATTAGACGTGTAAATTGTACAGCTGAGTTCGATAGATCAAACTTGTAAATTGAATAATAAATTCTATTATGATTAATAATTAATTTTTTAAAATTATTATTTGTTTAACTATATGATAACAAGAATAAATAATTATAAAATTAAGCATCAAACAAATACTAAAACTATTTTTTAAAACTATAATAACTTGATAAAAAGTAAAATGAAATAAATTATAAAATTTATTTTTTAATTGATATAATATTGAATGATAAAATTAGAAAAACAAGAAAAAAATGTTAAACTCGCTAAACCTGTCAGTAGGCCCGTGGATTTTCTAATATTTAATAATATATTTTTTTTAAAAAATATTTTGTGATAATATTATAAAAAGAACATAATTTTAAAGGACAAAACTAGACAAGATAAAATGGAACGATCTTAAAAAACACTTAGGTCACCCAACCAAATCTGCTACCTAAATCATGAGATGTGCATATTAAAAGAAAATAATGAGCATTTTTTGTTAGTAGTTAAATTATAAGCAATTAGGAGTGATTATTTTCAGTTCAGTGTGATTTTTATCTATAAAAAAAACCAAATCAAATTAAAAAAACAAAATCAGTTCAAACCAATTGGTTTTTGTTCGGTTTGAATATCTTAGAACAAAAACTGAAACCCATCTGAACAGTTTCAATTCAGTTCAATTCCATTATTTTATATTAAAAACTAAAAGCTATATTGTTTTTTAGGGTTTTTTTTCCTGCAATTTCCACTGTGTTTGGTTTCGGTTTGGCTTGGTTTTTTTAGTATGAATTTTTTTTTTTGTTTTCTGTTTGGTTCAGTTTTTTAATTTCAGGCTTATGGAACTAAAACCAAACCAAATCAGTTAAGTTTTTAAATATTCTAATCAATTTTTTTCATGGTTTGTTTTTTTTTTTGTTATTTTTTCTCTAGTTTTCTCGGTTTAATTAGTTTTTTGATTTTTTTGCTTATCTCTATAAGCAACCCATATGGAAACCACCATTTTAAAACTCAAGTTTACCTATTGGTTGACCATCGACGAGGCTTAGAGTGGGTTGGATTTGAAAAGAAATTTGAGGAGAATTGACTCGATGTGAGACGATCAAAAACATGAGTTGACCTATGACTCAATCAACACATGGCAAACTGGGTCAAAACTCGTTAACTACTTTCCTTCATTTTATTTTATTTTTAAAATTATGTTATTTTTATGTTTTTAAAAAAATATAAAAATTTAATTGACTTGGGTTAACTCAAATCAATCCATGTGACCTGTGACAGGTACTCACTACAAGATTTTACAGTTTTACTGACGGGCTGAATCCTTCGGTATGAGATTCAGACTTCGTCGCTAATTTTTTTACCAGCTAAATCACTGACAAAAAGTGTCCATCTGCATGTGATTAGTACTTAAAAGTGTATTTTTTATCAAGGTTTTATATCATCATTTTGCACTTGAAGTATCAATAACTCCTTAACTAAAACATGTTTTATAATAATATATCTAATAATATAAGATACCTTTAATTTATGATAAATATTTATTTTAAATGCAGGCCTATTACATAAATAAAAGGATTGATTGATGACTTTAAGAACTGAAATTGAAAGGACAAAGAGATGACTAAACTGCTAAAAGAAATGCCGGTGCAATCCAAACCGGAATACTGTTTGGTAATTGGATCATATCAGGAGTTGTAAATCTCAGATTTAGGTCTAAATTATATGAATGAAAAGGTAAGGCATAGACCTACAACTTTTATATGAAACTCAATACATATAGACCTACAACTTTTATATGAAGCCCAATACATAAAAAGGTCATTTTTAAGTTCAAATTATAACAACAATAAAGAAGTCTGAATCTGTCCTCCAACCTGAGCATTATTCAGTGTTTGACCCATATCTGGA